GCAAACCAGATGACAACCTCAGCTGAAGACTGTCAGACACCATCCACTTTGATTTTGAAGCAGGGTCTCTCATTGGTCTGGAGCAAGGACAGGAAGTCAGGAGAATCAGAAGTTCAAGGCCAGCCTCAGCAACATGAGTTCCAGACCAGCCTGGAACTACAGGAAGCTCTGTCTCAACAGCCACCCCCAAGAAAACAAAACCCGGAACTCCTGGCTTATGGCTGGAGATTCCATTGACTTACCATTCCTTGGGGAGCTGCTTGCCCACCCCACCGGTAGCCAGATTCTAGGGCAGCCATCACCAGCTCCGTATTCTCCTAAAACCTCAGGTTTCTCTAGGTTGAGCTTTTGCAAATGTCAACATGCAAAGTCAGCATTTTAAAGTATTTAAAATTGTATCCTATAATGATTACATTATTTCGGGTTTTACAGGAGCACATACTCTATCTGATGCTTTCTGACTGTCTTCTGGGGACAAGGACAGAGGACACTGCTCAGAGATAAGCCTGGCTGTGTCGGGATGGAGCTGGGAGCTCTTTTCCACACAGAAACTCTTCTTCAATGTCGTTACATTGTCTTTAAAAAGATAAAAATAGCACATGGGACTTACGTAGCTTTTAGAATTTAGGGCAGCTCTTAATTCACTCTGTGTCTACCAAGTTCCACAGATGCTATAGCTTATAAACCTGATGGAAAATTTCCGTTTTAAGATGAATGTGGAGGAACCCCTGGTCGTTAAGTCAGTGGATCATGAAAGGGTTTTAACTCTTTTGTGCTGGCCTTCTGATTTATACATATGTAATATGAATGGGATCCAGCAGAACAAGCTATGCTTCTCCATCTTGGCTCTGCTGTTTGGGGATGCAGAAATATAGTGTTCTCTCTCTCTCTCTCTCTCTCTCTCTCTCTCTCTCTCTCTGTGTGTGTGTGTGTGTACCAATTTGTCTTAGTCAGGGTTTCTATTCCTGCACAAACATCATGACCAAGAAGCAAGTTGGGGAGGAGAAGGTTTATTCAGCTTACACTCCCACATGGCTGTTCATCACCAAAGGAAGTCAGGACTGGAACTCAAGCAGGTCAGGAAGCAGGGGCTGATGCAGAGGCCATGGAGGGATGTTACTTACTGGCTTGCTTCCTCTGGCTTGCTCAGCTTGCTTTCTTATAGAACCCAGGACTACCAGCCCAGGGATGGCCCCACCCACAATGCCCCCCTTCCCCCTTGATCACTAATTGAGAAAATGTCTTACAGCTGGCTCTCATAGAGACATTTCCTCAAGGGAGGCTCCTTTCTCTGTGATAACTCCAGCTTGTGTCAAGTTGACACACAAAACCAGCCAATCCAGTGTGTGTGTGTGTGTGTGTGTGTGTGTGTGTGTGTGTGTGATATGTTTCTGTGGAGGACATACACATATGTGTGCATATGTGTGGAGGCCACAGGCCAACCTTCATTGTCTTTCATCAGGCAGTGTCTGCTGGTTGGTCCCTTCGTCTCTAGTATCATAGCCACAGCACCGACTTCTTTCCCTTGTGGGTTGTAGGGATTGAACTCAGGTCCTCTACTTGTAAGGTAAGCACTTTACCATCTGAGAGATCTCTCCAGGCCTACTTTTTTCTCTGGGCAAAGTCTTAGCCTCAGGCTGGAGCCTAGATTTCCCAGACCTGGAGTTATTACACTTCTTACTTTGAATAAGCCCCTTGGCCCCTCTGGCCTCATGTTCTGTGCCTGTAAAATGGGCTTCCCAGGGTTCTTACTCCTCAGCTGCTGGGAGGCTTAAGGAAGCATTCTGGTCAACCAGGGAGATGTCAGCCCTCAGGGTGTGCATGTGAGGGCAGGTGAGCTACTGCATCTGTGCTTTGCAGTTGTCATTTTCTTTGGGGGCAGTTTTCAGGAAATTTTGTCACCTGTGTTGTCTGCCAACAAGGAAGACCCTGTGGAATGTAGCAAGGCACTAATGGCTTGTCTCCCTTCTTGTCTCCACTCTGACAGATCATAGCGAACCATCATATGCGGTCCATCTCCTTCGCCTCAGGGGGAGACCCGGTGAGTGGCCTTTGGTTTGTTTCTCTTGTTCTTGCTGGGAATTTCTCAGAAGAAACCTCTGCTCCAAAGATGTGCCCTTGAAGCCATGACACAAAAGTGTTTTGTGCTGATTTTAATGAAACCCCAGTGAACTATTCTAAGAACAGTCCAGCTGTTTTAACATCAGTAAAACTTCAGTCTGGGTTGAATTCCATTCTGATAAAGTGTACACGCTTGGAAACAGTTGTGGTGCCCCAAGAAAAACAAGTTTTATACCTAATGGGGAAAAAAATTTTTTTTTGAAGAAAATGATGGTCTGTAAGACAGAATATTCATCAACAGAACTTTGCAAGTAGTCATAACTCCTGAAGCTGTGACCCCAGCTCTTGGTTTCAGAAGGTCTTCCCCACTTTCTTCCCCCTCCCTTTCTTTTTCTGTATTAGAGACTGAGGCCAGCAGTGCTGAGTAGTCACGCCACCATCAAGCTATGGCTTGGCTGTCACTTTAGTTGTTATTTGGTGGTGGGTGTGTGGTAACCTGTGACCACCGTCTACTGTTACTTTTCAGTCACAAAGGGTCAGGAGATCTGGAAGTGTGGCCTCCTTGAGAGGTAGCAATAGCTCTCGTATGCCTGACCTGTCTTGCCCTGCTTGCCTTCCTTGGCTGTGTCCCTGCTGCATTTCCAAAACCACCCCAAAGACAACCGATACAGAAGAGAACAAGAAACTGAGAGCAGAGGAAGGCGTAGGCCTGGCCCTTGCCAGCAGCGATAGGAGAAAGGCTTTTCACTAATGCTCTCAGATTAACTTTCAGTTCTGGGTAAAGTTTTCAGCATTTAGGAACAAAAAAAATATTTAAAGCCCTCTCTATTCATAGATAGTCTAGGTTCCAAAACCCGGGAATCCTGCCACCAAAGAAACACTGTTGTACACTTTGGCAGTCAAAGCAAAGGAGCTGGCACCACCTGTACCAATTAGCAATCAAGATAACCCCGAACAGACATTCCCGTAGGCCAACCTGGTCTAGATGCCTTCTTAATTGAGACTCTCTCCTCAGGTGGCTCAAGGTTGTATCAAGTTTGACGGTTAAAATGAACCAGCACACAATCAGGTCAACGGGGAATCCGTCCATGGTTTAGATCAGAGCCTCGTGATCCAATTGTCTGCCAGGGATGGGGTCCACCAGTTGGGACCATGCCTGCCTCACAGGAGCTGTTCTGGAGGAACTGTTTAGACCCCAAGCACAGCAGCGCCCTTGTGAGCTTGTAACCCACATTCCCCTAGCCTGAGTCCCACACCGGGACGGAGACCTTCACCAGCGTCCCCTCGTCTCTGTCTCATAGAAGTTTGGGGTAGTGACCGGTGGACAATGTGAAGGTGCAACCACAGTGTCTTAAACGTTGGTGGCCACCCAGTTCTTGTTTGCATAAATAGCTCCCCTTTCTGGAAATTCTGTGAAAGCAATGCTTATCGATGGTATGAGCAGAGGAACCCATAGCGAGCACTTGGGAAAACAAATACATCATCTTTGGTTAAAATGCTTTATTTTCCGACTATAAACCCTTTCATTTTTTCCCCCCATGATTTTTTCTGGAAACAAAAAGGAGAGGAATAAATGTCTACCTGGGTGTGGTCACGAATTCCTTGAATCTCAGCATCAGGAGCACAGGCCCGCTTTGAAATTCAGGCCAGTGGTTAGCCTCATCTACATAGTAAGACTTGTCTTAGAAAAAAAATTAAAAGGACTGACAACATCTGGTGACATTTGAAGGGATCTACAATAGCTCACATTTTCTGATATTTTTTTTCCTCACCCCAAAATAATTGTGGTTCAGGTATAATGAGTCCCGTGCAATCCCAGCACGCAGGAGCTGAGGCAGGAGTATTGTGAGGTTCAGACTAGCCTGGGCTAGAGAGTGTGACCTCATCTTAAAAGACAAAGCAAAACCATTCGGGGCTCCTAATTGTCTTTCTATGTGTACAGCATTGCTTTGTACCTCATTCGTCCATCCAGTAGGAAACAGATAAAAATGACAAATGACAGCCAAGCGGGACTTGAAAATACTGTTAATCCATCTTCCTCCAAAAAGAAACAGGTATAGATGATAATAGACCCTGATTCCCAGTGTTAAGAGATAACCAGGAAGGCTTGGGAGGTGGCTGAGTAAAACGCTGGACCCAGGTGAAAAGACGTTCACTTGTAATTGGGCAGAGACAGGGGGATCCCAGCCGGGTTAAGTAGTGAGCTCCTGGTTTCAGCAAGAGACAGACCCTGTCTCAAGGCTTGAAGAATGACATCTTAGGTTGCACCCCCATCCCTGCCCCATTCCCTGCATGCATACCCAAGATCCCCAAGAGGATGCCATGACCTGTCTCAGAGGTCTTGGGGGCTGAGAATAGGGATCCAATAACCACAGAATAAGATCCACACGGCCTCTTCTCTGGAACTTAGTGTGACCACTGTAGAACTGGGGGTGTGGGAGGGGGAGGCAAGAACACTGTTCTGAATCTCGATACTCTAGGAATCAATGTCACATAAAGATCAAGATCTGCGACAGAACATCTGTGTCTTAGCTTGGCCATGGGCCATCTGAGAGAAGGATATCATATCTTCCTGGGCCTTCCCTCTCCAGCCACACAGCCACAGTGTAGTGCTTTAGACTAGAGAAGGAACCATCCCCCCCTTTAAAAAAAAAAGACTCCCTTGTATGAACCACTAGAGCTGACTGGAGTTAATTTTGCTCTCTGACTATGTACAGAAGTCAAACAATAAGACTCCTCCTGTTTGTATGTTTTCCTTGAACTCTAACCCCTCCATCAAATTTGGAGGATACAAATGAAGACAGGAAAGCTGATGGCACGCAGTTCTGTTATTGTACCACAAAGACGGTTTGCTGTAACTAAATGCGCTCCCTCCTGCCCGCCATGCTTCTCGGAGCTGTCTGCCAGGGTGGCAAGCTTTTCTTTTCTTTTCTGGATGGTGGTTCTGCTACCATGGGATCCAGGTGATTCAATTCTTCTGCTAATTTCTCCTATTCAGATACAGCCTCCAGTGTGTGTCCTTAGGCACAAAAGTGACAGCAATTTGGGTCAACTAGGGCAAAAGCATCAGCTCTCTGCTTCTTGAAAAATCCCAGCTCCTACCATGTGGGAAAGCTGGCTGCAAATCTTAATCCTGACCCAGAAACCACACCTAAAGCTAACTCAAGGATAGATGATCCTGGGTTCTCAGCTAGCTTTAAAAGGCTGTAGAAAGGTAAACACAGTACTAGAGGCACACCCCAGGGCTCCAGGCTCCAAGACTTTGGTCTGCTGGCTAAGATGTTCATGAGACATCTTGGGCAGTTGTGAATCTCACATCCCATGAGTCTAGGAGGAGAGTAAACAATGATAAACTATAATCCGTATTTTTGCCAAGAGTTTTAATTCCTCAGAAGATGCGCCTCCATGGACATGAATGGAGGCCATTTTTACCGTCTTCCTGTTCTTTCTCTAGTCAGTCTGTGGAATATTAAAGACCAGGAAGTGTACTCTACTCAGAGCAGCCGCAGAGACAAGACTTCTTTTGTCTCCTCCACTGGAGAGTCTTCCTGCCTCTGTTTTCCTGCAGACTTGGAGAACACCATGCCCACCCACCCCTCCCCTCCACACTCCTGGCAGGGTTTTCTGGATCTCTGTTAGGAGGGAAGAGGACATTTCCTCCTGCATGAAACAGTACAGCACAAACCACTATGAGTCTGACATAAGGAGCAGTAGGTGAGCTTGAGGTCCTTTGGTGTGAGCATAAGATTTGGAAAATAACTGCTACAAACAGGCTGACTTTTCAAGTTGCCCTCTGTGGGATGGTACACGTGCTGGTGGAGTTTTAACCATCAACTTGTCCCCACCTACAATTACTTGGGAAGAGAGCTTCAGTTGGGAAACTGGCCTGTGGGGTAGGAAGAGCCAGACCACTGTGGGCGGCAGCAGTCCTTAGGCAGGGTTCCTGACCAGCATAAGAAAGGAGAAATCAAGCAGAACAGAAGCAAGGAAGCAAGGAACCCTGCATTGATTTTTTTTTCTCTCTCTGCTGTTGACTATGAACATGAAACTTTGAGGTCCTGCCTTGACTTTCGCACATTAAGGAGCTGTAACCTGGAAGTGTGAGCCATAGAAACTCTTTCTTCCCTAAGTTGCTTTTACGTCATGGTGTTGGACACAACAAACAGAAGTGGACCCAGAAGAGTTTCTGTTTGATTGGCAGAGGGAGGAACTGGCGATGGAGCATGGAACCTTGTGCTTGGTTGTAAGTGCTCTGTGATGGTACAACAACCCAACTTGAACAGCTCTTGAGGATCAAGCCACCCCAGAAACCTGAAGGCTTTCTTGGATTGTTGTTCTGAATGTTCAAAAATATCAACATTGTGGAGACGTCTCTCTGGCTTTAAGAATTAGGAAAACGGATCTTGAGAGATGGCTCGGTGGTTAAGAGTACTGACTGCTCTTCCATAGGACCAAGTTTGGTTCCAAGTACCTACATAAGGTGGCAAACAACAGCCTATAACTCCAGTTCCAGGAACCCAGCACCTCTGGCCTTCATAGACACCTGCACTCAAGTATACATATTTCTCCTCCCCTGCCCCTCCCACACAATTAAAATACTAAAAACAATAATACTTTAAAAAGAATTTATAAAACAAACAGCCAGGTCCCTGGCTACTTGCTCAGAAGCAAGTGTATTCGGGCTGTCTCTGCTGGCCATTAGGGCCTCAGAAGGCTGGAGGAAACTCATTTCACACTGAGGGGTGAGACTTCTATAGAAAGTCAGTGTGATTTTGTTGTTTGTTTGACAGTTATAGTGTTTTAAATTAGCATGCACTATTGTTTAACATAATGAGGTTTATTGTGACCGTTTCATGTATGTGTATATGACATGTGAGTTTCATGTGTATATATGACATACTTCGACCATATATGCATGTTTGCTCTCCTCCCAACCCTCCTTTTCCTGGTAGCCTGCTTCTACCTGCATATCTTTCTTTCTCTTACTCACTTCACTTAACAGACTGACTCCTGATTTCATCAGTTTTCCTGGAAATGAGATAAATTGATTCTTTATAGCTATATAGAACGCCACTGTGTAAGTGTAGCTACGTCCCACTTTCTCTGTCCCCTCATCTGCTGAAGGACAAGTTGGATATATCTGTATCTCACCTATGGTGGATATCCTGTCTTTGAACACCTACCCTAGTATTTCTCCCAACAATTACTTCTCAAAGTATAGACTCCAACCCCACAGCTACTGGAATTTCTCAGCAACCTCATTTGGAGCTCCAGTGGAAAACTGGAGTACAGCCCAACGATCTGTCTTAAACCTTCAGGGGATTCTCACAAGAACTCAAATTTGAGGACGGCTCGTATACACATCACTGACAGCCATGCTTCTTGACTTTGGTTCACACCGAGCTTTAAAAAGGTCCTTGTAGCCAGGTCTCAAATCCAAACCAGCTAAGTCAGATGAACCTACGGGACTCGAGCACCAGTTTTTGAAATTCTTTGAGGAGAGCTAACATGGGGAGGCCAGGTACTTGTCACCCTGGCTGCTCTGAGTGTGGTCACAGACTGCAGCACACCCCCAGAGGAGCTGGGTAGTACCACATAGACACAGTTGGTCTTGATTTCTCAAGCTCTGCCCAGTCTGCACTCAGGTCTCTGAGGATTTCCAACCACATCCAAATGTGAGGACTTGTCTCAAACCACATCTATCTTGGACCAATTTTGTATGCAGTATTTGGCCCCTCCCTCTTCTCCTTCTTTTTCCTCCCAGTGCTGAGGAGGCTCAGGGCTCTCCCACACTAGGGAAGTGCTTGTCCGTGAACTTTCCTTCCAACTGATTCTGGGCTGTGTGATGGATGAATGGATTCTCAGCACGCTGGGCTCTGCATCCCTCTGGCTGTACCTCTCGCTGTGATGAGTGATCCAAGCGGCTCTTTTTCCTTCCACAGGACACAACAGACTATGTTGCCTACGTCGCTAAGGACCCCGTCAATCGCAGAGGTAAGCAATGCCTGACCCATTTAATCACTCGTGTGAAGCCGGGCTTAATACCGCGAACCAGCTGTTCCTAATTACCTCAGCTCCTTTAGCAAATGAGCACTTGTCACGTGACACGATTAAGGCTAATTGAGGCCTGCAAGAGTAGCTTGTCACCTGGCTGAGAGAGAACCTACCGGATGCTGAGTGCCACGCTCACACCTGTGTCAGGATGGCTGTGGTTTGCTATACCTGGTTCACACGGCACCTCTCTCACCCTGTGCTCTGAGAGTGGCCTCGGTTGTGCCTGGGAAACACCACACCTGCCCATCTTCCTGACCAGATTCACCCAGTGTGGGCACACTGTCCTGTCTCCTGCGCTAGGGCCCATCACCTAAGCTCAGGGTGTGCTGTCTTTTCATACTCTGTTTGAGCTTCTGGGACCCCAGACACAGGCTGAGGAGGTGGGGTATCTCTTATAAAACAAGAGTAGGTAATAATTCACCAGAGGAGGTGGGCTCGGGGGAACCACCCTTGAACACTAGATAGCTCCAGATGCCTGCCACAGCCACAAGAGAAATGTCGTTGACAAGACCCAGTGGAGTTTGTCACCATGCACAGTGGCACTGACCTACACAGTAGTCTGGTTCCTTCCTTCCTCCTGGCCTTTGTCCTCTGTGCCAGCAGCTGTCCTTTTCATTTTTCTTACGTACTCACAGATATATTTTCTCCATCTCGTAGAACAAACACTCAATACATATGGTATCTGAGACTGTTTTGCCACCCTCCTCCCAAACCTGTACCTTGAGTATGTGTTCAACGCAACCTATAAGGGCATATTAACGTAGGATGGGAGCTCTCCCTTGGTTGCAGGGGCTTCAGCAAACGAAACCTCGTGTGACAGTTAATACTAATTGTCAGATTGACAACACCTAGAACCACCTAGTAGTTGAATTTCTGTTCTGTTTGTAAGGTGAGGGAAATTCTAGATTGGATCAATTGAAGTGGAAAGACCCAGCCTGACTAAGGGTGGCGTCCTCCATGGGCTGGAGTCCTGAAGTAAATAAAAAGGAGAAAGCCAGCTGAGTGCCAGCCATCACCACGCTCTGCTTCCTGGCTGTCTAAGCAATGTTACAGCTGCCTCAGGCTCCCTACAGCATGGCTTCCCTGCTGTGATGCATTGTGTCCCCAAACTGTGAGCCTAAATAGGTCCTGCCTGCCTTGAGTTGTTTTTGTCAGGTGTTTTATCACAGTGATGGGTAGTAACTGTGTGACCTGTGACCAGAGGCTCTTGCAGAGCAAGGGAATAGACATCTCATATGCCGAATATATCCTCGCAAACTGCTTCTGACTTGGCTGTAAATGTTTGCATTGCCAGCCAGTTCTGGGTGCAAGAGCACAGAACTGACATCCTATTGGTGATGCTTTGGAGTTGAAGAGACAAGATGTTACAGGGAATCTGGAGGGTCTGGCTTTGTTCTTCCTGTTCTTCCTCATGCAAACTGAAGCTTCGACTATCAGAGTCTTCTTTAGGGTAGTGGGGAGAGAAGAGGGTTCCTGTAGACAAAACAGCACAGATTCCTAGTCTAGGACAGCACCTAGTCTCCCTGAACAGAGCTGGGACAATTAGATAGTTGTGTAATTGTGTGTATGTGCAAGTACACATTTGTGTGTGTGTGTGTGGAGACCAGAGGACCACATTGAGTTTCATTCCTTAGCTATTTCCACCTTATTTTTTGAGGCAGAGTCTCATTGGCCTGGAATTCTCCAAGTAGGCTAGGCCAATTGGCCAGTGGGGCCAGGGGTTAGCCTCTTTCTGTCTTCCCAGGGCTGAAATGGCAGACTTGTCCTGAGACACCTGTTTTTGTTGTTGTTGTTTGTTTGTTTGTTTTGAAGCCTTGGTCTGAGGAATCAAACTCAGGTCTTTGTGCTTCTGGGGCACAAATTGAACCATTGAACAATTGAACAATCACTCTGACTTTTCTTTAAAAAGTAAGACAGGTCTGAGGAGAGAAGAGAAGGGGCGGTGCTGGCCCTAGGATGCTTTGCTAGCATTATAGTCTGTCTTCTCTGGTGACTGTACATAGCCAGTGTTGATCCCAGGTGAGCAGGGTCATACTTGTGACAGCCAGGACTGCTCCTCAGAGCACTTGAGCAAAAGTCAAGTCTTTTGCTCTGCAAAAGAGTCTGCAGGTCAGTGTCTAAGGTAGCAAACATGGATGGAGGTGTTTAAAGCAACAAGGACATGTCACCTCACAGTTTTGGAGAATGGATATCCAGTTCATGGTGTCAGCAGGGCCTTGTGGGCTCCCTCTAGGTTCTGGAGGAAAGATCCCTCCTGCATGCTTCTGGCTTCTGGAAGTTACTGGTGATCTCCACTGTCCCGTGCCTTGCAGGTGTGCCACTGAAACCCATCCTCACATCCTCTGTTTCTGTGAATGCTGAAGGATGTCTACAGAGATGAGACTTCATGGTGGCTCAGTGCCACTTCTATCCCACTGTTACCTTGTTTTAACTAGTTACATCCAAGTAAGGACATCCTCTAGGGTCCTGGGGTTAGGATTTTTGGCATGCTTTTTTTCTTTCAGAGGATATAATTGAACCCACAGCATAAGCTAGCCTCTTTAACTATTTTAGCACCCCCCCAAAAAATCAGGGTGGGCATGAAGGAGAGGTTGTATCAGGCACTGTCCCCAAAAAACTCTATCTGGGTTAGAAGCAGCTGGAGTTTGTTCTCTGTTTTGATTTGCTTCAAATTAACTGGAAGTAATCTAGGCAATTCTGTTTTTCAGACTTCTTTAGTAGGTCAATGATCCTCGAAGAGAGCCATACTTGAGAGTTATTTAGGGTCCTTACAAGAAAAATGTCAGCGCTCAGAGACTGGGATCAGGCAGCACTGTGTTTAGATAGTGCTTGGGGACCTGGAGAAACAGCTCAGTTGGTAAAGTTCTTGCTGAGCAGATCTAAGAAGCTGAGATCATTTCCCAGAACCAGCCTGAAAAGTGTGGGGGCACTCACTTGTAACCATTGAAAGGTGGAGACAAGAGGACCCTTTGGTGGCTAGCCAGCCTAGCCTCGTTGGTAAGTTTCAGGCCAAAGAGAGACCCTCTCTCATCAAACAACGTGAATATCCACTGAGGAGTGAACAGCACCTGAAGTTATCCTGTGGCCTCCACATACACAGGCACACATGAACCCACACACACAAGCACACACATAGGTGCTTTGTGTGACTCTGACATATAGCGAGACTGAGTGCTCAGGTGTAGTCTATGTCCCCAAGGTGTCTGGTCTCCAAGTACTTCACTTTGGACCGTATAAAGGCCCAGCTTCTTCAGTGTTTTTCAATCCAGCCATCTTTGGCCCGTCTTCACCTTTTAGAGTCAAGGGGCCAGGCTTTCCTCCATATGTACTTGGTCCCTTCACCAAGCCTCCCTCTGAGACGGACATGCAGTGCTGTTGGGGAAATCTAGACAGTCTTCTCTTGCAGAATAATGCTGCATGCTTTTCTAAAGACACTTTATATTTGTCTCTCAGTTATTAAGAGTCCATGGTTTCTGTAGTTAATCCAGTGGAAGGAAAGGGGGCCTGACTCCCTGGTCCCTAAGTCAGGTGAGAGCCACCATCAACCATCTCAAGGAGGTCAGTATTGCACACGAGTGAAGTTTCAGGAGGCTGGTGACCAACAGGAGGTCTACACAAGGACTGGTGTTTGTAGAACTGCAATTCCCAATATGTCAGCTTTGTTGGATTCTAATGGATGATTTTTCTTTCATCTTTAAATCTTATTTCTCCCCCATTGTGTGGTGGTGGTGGTGGTGGTGGTGGTAATGGTGGTGGTGGTGTGTGTGTGTGTCTAGACATAGTCTTTGGGTATCTTTCTCTATCATCTGTTCCTCATTTATTTTTGGGACAAGGTCTCCCCCTGAACCATGAGCTCATTTATTTGACTAAATTAGATAGCCAGTACTAAGGGTCCATCTCCTGTCTCTGCTATGTTGTTTTTCCTCCCACACCCTTGATCCCAGAAATAACAACTCTGAGACGTAAAATATATTTACGAACACCTTGGCCATAAGCTTTGGTTAGTTCCCTGATTAGATCATAACTTAATAGCCCATTTATTCTAATCGAAGTTCTGACACGAGGCTGGTTACCTCCACTCATTTCCCATGCTGCTATCCTACTCCATGACCCCATGTGACTCTCCCCACATCACTCTATCCCAGAATCCTCTCTGCCTACTGGATGTCTCACCTTCTATTCTGCTACCCTTTCCTATAGATCATAGAGTTTTAAACTGACAGGTGATGTATCCATATAGTACACAAGAGATTTTCTCTCTGTGTCTAGGCTCTCCAGCACTGGATTTCCAGACATATATGGCTGCACACAGCTTTAAATGTGGGTTCTGGGGATCTGAACTCCGGTCCTCACAGCAAACACTTAACTGGCTGTCCCTGTTTGATTTTAACGGACACCTACATGTATTCAAGTATGAGGTACAGAGCGAGGTTTTAGTGTATATAGTGTACAGTAATCAAATCAGAGTAATTCATCTCCAAACTTCAAGATTCTGCTACCTTGACCCCCCCACCATGATAGACTGTAACCTGGAACTTCAGGCCATGTGAACCCTTTCTCCTTATGTTTTTGTCGGAGTGTTTTTGTCACGATGGAGCCATCTCCTCCTCAGCGGTCCCTACATTGTGCTGCTTGGTGTTTCCAGTCAGAATTCCTCGTCAATGTTTCACTATTACGAAGTCAAGGACAACTTTCTCTAAATCTGATGAACAGATCAAGTTCCATCCCGTGGGAGCCAGTTTAAATCGATTGCTAAGGTTCCTGGGCCTTAGGGAAGCTCTGTCCAAGATCCAGTGTGTGCTGAGGTTTCTTTTTAAACACTGCTTCTCTAGGGAGGTCAGAACCACTGGATTCTGGGAGCATTAAAACCATCTAGGGGCTAAAGAGGTGACTCAATGGTTAAAAGTACTTGTTGTTCTATCAAAGCATCCAGGTTGGGTTTGCAGCCCCCACAGGGTGTCCCACAAACGCCTATAACTCCAGTTCTGGGGGAATCTTCTGCCCTCTTTCTGGCCTCTTCAGGAATTTCCCACATGGGAAGGACAGACATACTTAAAAGGAAATACTCATGCCCATAAAATAAAAATAAATAGGTTTTATAATAAAAATAAAAGCTTTACTTTCACAGAAAAGCCCTCTAAGAAATTCATGTGTCCATCACCCACCCCTATGGGATACCCCAGAGATGAGACTTTGGGTTGGTAGAGACATACCAGGATCCGTACCAGGATCTTTACCAGGAGGGAGGTGTGTGGCTCTTTTTTTCTGCACCCCAGATGGGGCTCTTTGTCAAGGGGTCCAGAGAACCCTGGCACTGTCTCTAATGAGCGCATGTCCCCTTTTCTTCAAGCTTGCCACATTCTGGAATGCTGTGACGGACTAGCCCAAGATGTCATTGGCTCCATCGGACAAGCCTTTGAACTGCGGTTCAAACAGTATTTGCAGTGCCCTTCCAAGATTCCTGCTCTCCAGGACCGGTGAGTAGTGCTGCCTGTCTTTCTCTGGGGGCATGTCTACAGCCTGTAAACTTTCCTTTAAAACCAGCTCCCAGCACCACACCTTGGGCAGACTCATATCTTCACTGTGTTTCCCTGGCTCACAGACACCTGACTGGTGCTCAGTAGAAGCACAGGAAGCTGACAGATGGAAGCTCACATATGGCTCAGAATTCACAGGAAACATTTTCCTGATGCTATAGAGACAGCAACAAGGTTACCAAAAACTTCACTGTTAAATTTTTTTTTTTTGGTCCTTTGATCCCTCCACAGTTTCCCTTGCTGGATCTGTGACCACACAAGGTCTGTGCCCCATCTCTCGGTTGTCACAGTTAGCCAAATGGGGCCCCACCTACTGACAGCATCCTTTTGCTTTATTGGCCTCCATGGCCTGAAAGCTTCAGAGATGGTCATCAGCCATGTGTCTCTGTGCAAGATCCTTAACCTGCCCGACTCACCTTGGCTTCATCTGGAAAACAGGGATAAGAATCGCTTGGTTAGTGTTTTACTAGTAAATGAGGTAGCAATTATCAATAAATATGGAGAGAAGGTCTTCTATTGTGATTTAAGACTATTCCATGACATAGAAAGTTGAAAAGTACCATGGAGCATACGGGACATTCAGTGGTCTTCTTGGACTTGAACTGGAGTCTATTCTGCCCTTGATGGACTTCCGTAATGACAAGCTATTAAAGCCTGGGAGAAGGCTCAGCTAGGTAAGCACTTGCTCTGTGGGCACAGGATCTGAGTTTTAGCTCCAGAACCTATGTCAAACAAAACAAAACAAACAAACAAACAGGTACAATGGTGTGTACCTGCAATCCCAGCACAGGGAGGGAGAAATGGGTGGATGCCTGAGGTTCTCTGGTTATCCACCCTAGTCTTCTCAGTGAGTTCCAGGCCAGTGAGAGACCGTTTCTCAAAAACAAGGTAGATAGCCTTCGAGGTTGGCCTCTGGCTTACACATTATTAAATGTATGTACACCTATGTACATTCACCTGTGTATAAATGCATACACACATAGGAAAACCTTTCTAACAGTGTTCACTGTAAGCAAGCATCTTTGCTCTTAGGTTATTTCTTACTCTCTCCAAACTCACAAAGCCACCTTCTATGGCATCATCATGGAGCCAATGTCTGATCTACTGTCATTATGAAGGTATCTCTCAGTTCCTGTGTCTTCTTTGCCTTTCTGGAAAGACTCTTAGTTCTGTATCCTCATCTGTTTGCAGGATGCCTGTAAGGACCCACTTTGCCCAAGCTGATGAGGTCAGCAGGATGGGGCTGGAGGAGGAATGAAGGAAGTGGCTACAGCCCTAACATCTCTGATCTGAGAATGAGCCTTTATTTTCAATGTGGTTGGAATTGGTTTACAGGGCCCATGCACCACAGGTTACATTCTCAGAATTTATAAAGACACGAGAAGACTGAGTTGCAAAAGGGAATGGATCATTTGTGTTTTAAAATTGCACTGCCCTGGTTAGCTGTAATTGTCAACAGACACAGCTTAGGGTCACCTGGCAAAAGGAGGTCTCATTTGAGGAATTACCTAGATCAGATTGGCTATGGATCTGCCTGTGGGGGGATGCCTTCCTTACTAATGCAGTGGGCCAACCCACTGTGGGCAGTACCATTCCCTGGGCAGGTGGTTCTGGGCTATATAGGAAATCTAGCTAAATATGAGCCAGTAAGCATCATTCCACCATGGTTTCTGCTCAAGTTCCTCTTTGATTTCCATCCATGAAGGACAGTGAACTTATTAACGGAAATAAACCCTCTGTGAACATTTGAACTATTTCCTTCTTTTGGCTCATATGAACAAAGCTACTGTGAAGTTGTATTCAAGTTTTGGGATAGCCATCTTTCAGTGTTCCTGTGCATATGCCTTAGAGTAGAATAATTAAGCTAGTGTCTCTACTGTTTCCCTTTTGGGAAACTGTCTTGTTGCTTGCTCTTTCCCTCTGATAGTAAGAAACAATATTAGTCAGGATTCTCTAAAGAAATAGAACTTACATAATGAGTTATTTATACCAACAGAAGGTCCAAGAATCCAGTAGTTGTTCAGTCCTTGAGGCTGGATGTCTCAGCTGGTCTTTAGTATACGCCAGAACCCCAAAGAAGTAGACTCTAATGCCAGTGAAAGAATGGGCTTGCTAGCGAGAATGAAAACAAGCAGGCAAAGAACAAGCCAGCCCTCTTCTTCCATGTCCTTTCTATAGGCTGCCAGCAGAAGGGATGGCCAAGATGAAAGATGGATCTTCCACCTCACAGATTAGGATTAGAAGTGGGTATTCCCACTTTAAAAATATTTAATTAAGGAAAAAAAATCCCTCACAGGTATGCCCAGTCATTTGGATTTTAATTAAGTCCAGATGTAGTTAACAACCAAGTCTAGCCATCACAGATACTCTGAAAAAGATCACCATAAGGCAAGAGGGGTCTACTTGGGGTCGCAGTTTGGAAGCTCTGTCCATCATGACAGGGAAGCCAAGGCTGAACTGAACTATTTAAAATTTTGGTTCTTCTACCTCCCACACCTGCTACTTGCTGAAGTGAATTGTTAGAATTTTCTTCTCGTGTCTGCAGTGATAGAATTCTCAATTCTAGAATTTATTTTTTTAATTTCTTTATACATACTGGCAAGCCACATTTTGTTAGATGTATTTTCATATTTAGTGTTTTCCACATCATTTCTTTTAGTTAACTGAACATATTTAGAGTCTTGTTTATTTTTCCTTAAGTCTGAGATTTCTTTGTCACAGTTTCCATTGACTTAGTTTTCCTGTCGAGGTGCTATCCTTTCTTATTTCTTTATATAGCTTACAAAAATTTTTTTTGCCGACATTAAAAAATGTAAATAAAAGAAGGCGGCAAGACTGAAACTCATCTTTCTTCTCTTTCTGGGATGTATATTGTCAATGTTTGCAGTTGTTTTAGCAACTTTACTGAAATAATTCTATAAACTCTCCAATCTACACATACTATTATGTCCTCTGATGGCCCTGCTACATCACTAATGACAGAAGAGCGGTCCTTAAATGTTTAACAACTCAGCCTCATAGTCTTTATTGAAGGGCTACGTGCGTGCATGTACATATGAACATGTGTATGTGCATGTATGTATGTACACATATACAATGCGGATGTGGTATTTGTATGTATATATGCATGTATGTACACATATGCATGTAGATATTGTATTGTGCATGTGTATTTGTGTGTGTGCATGTTTGTATGTGTGTTGGTGTGTGTTGTATGTATACATTTGTATGTATATGCATATATACGTATATATATATATATATACATATATATATATAGGCACATGTACGTTTGTGTGTGTTGTATATATTTGTGTGTAATTTGGGTGAATCAGTTGATTTTTTTCCAGCTTTCACTTTCTGCCTGTGAGATGTTTAATGGTAGGCCAGAAGTGAGGATTTAGAGCCATGTTACACACTGTGGGCACGAACAAAAGCTGAACCCTGTAAATGTATGTAGCATCTAGATAAACAAGTTGGAGTTTATTGATGTCTTGGCGTCTCGTTTTAGGATTTGCGATGGTCATTAGTTGTGGTTATTTGTTTGAGACTTTCCCCCTCTAGTTCCATACACTCTACATTCTTTGTCGCTTTCTTCTACTAATAAAAATTGTTTGACCCAAATGTTCTTCGCAGCCTCAAGCGGGCCCCATGATAAACACTTGCCTCTGAATGTTTCTGACGGATGCCCTCAGGCAGGCTCTGCAGCAGGTTAAATAAAGACAGCTTTGGCAAACACAAGCAGATGATAAGTGCTTAAGAAGATGAGAATGCTAATTACTCTAATTTGGTCACTGTGTGCTGTAGAAATGTATCAAGTTAGCACACAGCACCCCATAATAAATGTGCAAAATTACTACGTGATAATTAAAAGTAAATTAAAAAAAAAAAAGACAGCTTGGGGAATTGTGTTCTCAAAGGATCCCTCAGACAGGGAAAATGATGATAAATTTTTGGGCCTGGCTGTTGAAAGAGGCTCAGAACTGCACTGTCCCGTCTGTGGCTACTTGGGCGCTGGTTGTCATTAACTGATGGCTGTTAGCTTACAAGGTTACTATAGGGATGCAAATAGGGCTATTTAAGATGCCTCAACCATAGTGATCTTACAGCCCATTTCATTTTAAAATGTTTATTTTTTTAATTTGAGTGTGTGTGTCTTGATTTCTTTCCTGTTGCTGTGATAAAATACCCTAACAAAACCAACTTAAGAAAGAAAGGTGTATTCTGGTTCACAGCTCTCCAAGGCAGGGAGGTTGAGGCAGCAGGTCACATACTTCTACAATAAGAGCAATGCACAGATGATAGTGTTTAGGTTGCATTACCCATCTTATGCAGTCTATGACCACTTTGCCCAGGGAATGGTTCTACCCGCAGTGGGCGGGTATTCAGACCTTAAACCATAATCAAGACTTAATGCCTCATGCAAATTCTCAAGAGACCGTCTCTGAGGCGATCAAGTTGACAGCTAACACTAACCATCTCTCTCTTGTTCTTGCTCTCTCTCTTTCTCTCTCTCTCTCTCTCTCTCTCTCTCTCTCTCTCTCTCTCTCTCTCTCTGTGTGTGTGTGTGTGTGTGTGTGTGTGTGTGTGTGTATTCGTGAACACATGTGCAGAGCACAGGGGAAGACTTCAGGTGTTGTCTTCTCTCTCTCTACTTTAGCCCCCTGAGTCAGAGCCTCTCTCTGTTTTTCAGCTAGGCAGGTGGCAGGAAAGCCCCAGCACCCTCCTGTCTCTCACCCCCTACCTCGGGTGTTGGAGTTCCAGCTACACACAGTAACGCTAGGCTTTTTAGATGCTTGCTCAGGATCCAAACTCACGCCCTCATGCTTATATCATAAGCACATTAAACACAGAACAAAACCCTGGGTTGCTGCAAGCTTCTGGTTATTTCCAGAGTTCTGAAAAAGTTGAGTTAGACCAACCAAAATCTCTGGGCAGTTTTTTCATTAATTATATGGGAAATTATTTCAGAAGACCATGCTTTGCCATGTTTTTTTAGAGGTGGATCTTTATTTTTTGGCATGATTTCATTTAATTGAAGTTTCATGACTTGCTGAAATGCATACATGCACATTTAGGCTCCAGTGGTCTTTAGGTATAAATTATTTATTTTTCAATTAAAAGGGGTTATTTCTGATATGGGTGGCATGTTCCGATGAGTAGATCTCAGAATAAGACAGATTTATTTATAAGACAAGACACTTACCTCATTTACACACATTCCCAAGAGATAGATGGCGGGGCAGGGGAACAGTGACTAATTTCTTTCTGGGTAGCAGGTATAGTATCCATCCATTTCTCAGTACTATAGCAAGAGCTCAGGATGCAATTCTGCTGGTGAAGTGTTTGCCTAAAAGGTTCAGGGTTCCATCCCCAGTACCATATAAACTGGGTGTGGCTTCCTATGCTTATAATTCAGGCATTTGGAAGTAGAAGCAAAAGGATATGAAGTTTATGGTTATGGTTATATAGAACACTCAAGAAAAGCCCAGCATCCATGGAACTCTGTTTTAATACATAGAAATGGATATAGATAGAGATCTATAAAAATAGAGAATATTTCCATATACCTGGGGCAGACTGGCTTTATGAAGAAAAGAGGTTTACGTAGCTCATTCCTTTAGAAGCCAAGTACATGGTGCTGGCATAAGCTCAGACGCACTGAGGACTTCTTGGATGCATTTCATCACCGCATAAGTGTTATAAAAGATAATGCAGCTAGGAGGCACCTGGGCCCACACCAGGGTGTGACCTTGAGTAATTACGCCATGCAACAGATCTGGTGTAAAGGGGGCTTACTGGGGGGAGGGGAGAGGAGTGAGGACCTGAGAGAGGGGAGGGGAAAACGAGGGGACATGGAGGCAGGCGGACAGACAGGAGCAGAGCGGTGAGGGCAGAGAAGGGGGAAGGCACAGAAAAGGAGGAGAGGGAGGGAGGGACAGAGAGAGGGAAGGAAGGAGAGAGAGAGAGGAGAGAGAGAGAGAGAGAGAGAGAGAGAGAGAGAGAGAGA